GGGGACAGCTCCAGGGAACTGGCTCCATGCTTCCAGTTCTCTCTGCCTGTTGCCACTCTGGCCTTCCCTCACCGATCGCCTCTTTTCCCAGGGAGCCAGCTGAATGGAGAGAGATAAGAGCTTACCAAGATGGGGGCTGCAGAAGCCAAGGCTCCTTATGCGGGGTGGGGCTTCTGGAGGACGTGAAAGAAACAGCAATGGGAGCCCCGCTCTCCTTCTCCAGTCAGAATCCACCCCCCTCCAGACAAGTCCCTACATCTCTATTCTCCCACCTCCATTTCCCGGCAGCTCCTGCCCCCCAACCCCCGCCAAGCAGGGAGCTGCCCAGCGTTGTTTGTTTTCTGTACGTCTGTTTGCTTCCCCAGCTTCCTTTGCCCATCCTCTGTGAATGAGCTTACAGAGCCCGGCTTGGAAGGAAATGAATAGATTACACAGGCCCAGCCAGGGCCGTGTCTCCAATCTCTTTAGAAGGGAAAAGCAGGGCATTGTGATGAGGCCACCACTGCCCGCTCAGCCCAGTGGGCACAAAATGGCCCAAGACCTGTGAAGCCCAGCAGCCTCCCCTCTGGTCCTAAAGACATTATCTTAGCAATGGAATCATCCTGAGCTTTCGGAAATGGAATGAATGGGTTGGATTCTTTGGGTAGATTGGCAGAGCTGATGACGTTGCCCGAAGCAAAAGGGATCACTCCCTTGGGGTTCACAAGATCTCTGGCTGGACATTGGGGAAGATCTTGCCATGTGGATGTCTTAGGCATGGGGTGGGGACAGGGGATAGGAGGAGGGGGCCAGGGCCTGCAGCCTGGACACTATGCCCCATAATCTTCCCAGTTCATAGCCGGGGGGAAATGCTGAAACTACAGAACAGATTCAAAAAAATATATGTGATCAGATCCCCAGGCTATTCAATATGGCAGCCATGGCTAGTCACATGTGGCTATTCAATCTGAATTCAATTCAATTCAAATCAAATCAAATCAAATTAAAAATTCATTTCCTCATTCAGACTAGCCCTATTTCAAGAGCTCACTAGCCACATGCAGTTGGTGGCTACCATGCTGGACAGAGCAGGTATGGAACATTCCCATCATCACAGGAAGTTCTATTGGATATCCACTATGGCTATTTGCAGTTTTTTCTGAGGCTTCTGGAATATACTGTGCTTTCCCGGCAAGGGAAAAGCCACTGCTCACGGGGCCAGTTTTCCAGGCAAACTTGCGCTAAAGTGAATTTCAGAAAAATGAATTTTATTTGTTCTGTAACCTGCCATCATTAGATTGTGGAGGGATGGTTGGAGGGTTGGAGGGATGGGAAGAGGGACCATCATTCTCAAAAGACCTCTTTGAAAACAAAGAGAAGGTGTCACAAAAGTCATCAGGCACCTGACTGGGTTTCCTAGCTGTCTATAAAAGCCCTGTCCAACTTTAGGATGCCTCACAGCCCTTCTCCCCATCCCCTCATGCTTTCCCCACTTTTTCATGGCTTCCTCTCCCAGATCTGAGTTTCCCAGGCTCCGTCTCTGCAGCTCATGCTTTTTTTTCCCTAGAAATATTCAGTGGCTAATAGAGCAGGGGTGCGATTTCATAGTTGGACAGTAGGGGGCTGTCATCTAAAAAGCAAACTACCCTAGTACTAAAGTCAGGACTTGGTTCCAGAAAAAAAATGATTGATGATTTCCTCTACTTAACCATTTCTATCCATTTACATCTATAACTGGGGACTCATTTAGTAATGCTGCTAATTCTAATCTGAGTGGCTTATTAGCCAATAATATTTATTGAGTCTTCACTACGTGCCAGGCACTGCATACGTGACCACATTTCATTTTCACGCTGGCATTGTGAGGTCGGGTCTATTGTTGTGCCTGTTCTTCAGACGAGGAATCTGAAGGCCGTCCATGGAGACCACGTCTCCGCTCATGTCACCTTCCCTGACTTCTGCAGAAAGTTCTAGACACTCCCTCCTCCATGATTCCTCTTTTCGGGTCTACACCCCAGCTCTTACCTCTCTGTGCCAAAGCACCCATCTGCCAAAGCACCGGACTGCGAGCATCTCAAGTGCAAAGGCCACGCCTTATCCCCCCACTGTATCCGTAAATGTTTGTTACGTGCACAAGTGATAGAGCTGTGAATACAAAGGCGTGTGCACGTTTTGGTAGACCGTGCCACGTGGCCCACTTCTGTTTCAGGTGGGCGTATGTGTGCGGCCGACGGTATCTGTTGGCAGGGGAGTGTGAGTCATTGTGTGCTCAGGGGGCTTTGTGGATGTGGGAAAAAAAGGAACATTTCTTATTAAGGAATACTGTCTAAACTCATTTAGTTGGAGGTCAGCTGCCCAGCAGGCAAAGCCAAAGGTCTGTTTATATCATAGAAATCCATTAAACAGCCACAGAGAATCATGGGAGCTTAGCCTTTCACAAGTTTTTATCATCTCTCCTTTGTTTTGTCCCTTTCTGTCACAATCTGTTCCCAAGAGCTGCGCTGGGCCCAGGTTACAAGGCCACAGAAAAGAGAGCCACGGAGCAAGATAGAGAAGGAGATTGGTCAATAGCGATAACGCACCGCTTTCAGGAACCCCGTATCTCACTTCTGTCACCTTGTGGGGAGCGTGTGCCTGGGTGTTTGCTTTGTGGTATGAATGCCTCCTCCATGATGCTACCTGGCTGGGGCGAGCTCCCACCCCGGGGCCTTGCTCGATGCCTCCGGGGTAGGGGTGTGGCTGCTCTGGACCATGAGACTGGGAAGGGTAAGGTAGGAAGATAGAGGGCTGAGGCGTCA